ATATTATACTATATATTATATTATATATTATATTATATATTATATTATATATTATACGATATAGTATATTATATTATATTATATTATATTATATTATATTATATTTTTTATATTATATTTTTTATACCATATGCCATATTACATTATATTATATTATATTAGGTTTACTATATATATATATATATAGAAAAAACTATGTATTTATTTATATTCTGACCAGTTTGAACTAGCCGCCACTCCCAGACCGATCGGGAAACGAACTAAATCCAAAGCAAAGCCCTGCCTGGGGCAGTGGCAAGGCTGAGCAGAAGGATCATCGGTAAGGCAAGCAGCGAAGGCACTCTGCGGATCATGTTGCCAGCCTGCTTTCGAGAGGCTCTCGCAGCTGAAATCTACGTGAACATGGAACCTTACAAACTCATCATGCTGCCTCACTGAGCAAGGCAAGCACGACTCGAAACTGCTTCGCCAAGGATAGCACCTCGCGGCATTCACAAAAAAGCACTAAGGGACTAAGGGAAGCCGGCATCTAGCGTAAGATCGACGCCGTGCAGGCCAAGAGCATGATGGCCACGGCCAGCAAGCACCCGCTGACTGCGAACCACCTGATTCGGGAAGTCTGCAATCGGCTTTCATGGCCAAGCACGACTCGAGGAGTTCTTAATCATCTATTAGCAAATCGGCAGGCTGAGGTCAGCCACTGCATTGTGGCCTGGTTGCTGCTGGCTTGAGTGAGCCTCCGAGGGCAGTTGCTCACCAAATCTTTTACTCCACGGCACACAGCATGTCGAGACTGACTGTGGCGCCAGCAGGCTTTCTGCACCGGATGGTACTGTAATGGACAGGCTGGACAAAAACCTTCAGCATGCATGTTAGGAGTGCACGCATATGTCGGGTATGTCAGTGCTGGACTGCTGCAGTTGCGCTCCAGTCCTGCACGACTGCTTTCCTCTAGACGAAGTATGTAAATTGAGCAGATTTCTTCAAGCCAGACAACACTACTTGCGTGAAGCATCTCCATGCTTGAAACTAAACTGATGGACTTGACTGAGCTTTGCTGTGCAGAAATGGGAAATTTCAATGCTTCACGGAGCGAAGAGACACGGCTCCTGCCGCTCGCGATGCCTCCCTGGACGAAAAGAACCTGTGGAAGTCAAGTATCTAACAACCCACAAAACAACGTCCGGGAAACCGGGGCCAGCGCGTAATCCGTCAGGATGAGTGCTACAAACACAACTACCAGCAGAGACAGCCTTGGGCAGTTTGCGACATGGCCCTGCGGCCCTGCAAATTGAAGTTGTCAGCGTACTCGCGGCATTCAGGCTCACGCAGCACAGGAGGAGCGCATATCGGAAACCTGAAATAACCGAGGCCATTGGGCTGAACACTCTTCCAACGCATTCGCTGCAGGGATCTGAAGGCGGGATCGGAGAGTCTAAGACTGGAACAGGAGCATAATGATCACAGACATCACAGCTGAACCTACAACCTTTGCAGAGGCGAGCAGGCAGCAAAACTGGTGACACTTCGGAAAGCTTCAAAGAATCTGAATCCTCGGATCCTGGCTCCCAGCCCAAGTATCAGAGCCTCAGGACGAAGTGCGAGGGGTCTCGTCTGTCGGCTGTCGCATCCCGTCCAAGCCGTCCGACATAGTTGCTACTGATGGAGTTCCCGACAGAGTATACCGGGCCTTGCAACGAAAACTTGGATACAGAAAAGCTCCTGTACTATGGATGCCATGGTCAGAGCACAAAGCCCTCCACTAGTAACGGAGGTGAGGAGGTTGTATGCCATGCCTTGCATTGCAGCATGGGAGTTTCGAACCCCCCGTCCAAGCGTTTCGGTAGAAGGTCCAGGCTGTCGTCCAACGGCCTGTCTCGAAGGGGCAATGCTCGAAAATGCCGGTCTAGACTCTTCCAGCTCTATGCAATGACCACAAGAACGTCATGCAACCAAGCTATATCGATCGGCACACAGGCAAAGCTTCCGGCGAAGGCTGTCGAGGCTGAATCAATGCAGCAGAGATCAGCAAACGGTTTCAGCAGCCAGCACTGCAAGTGCCAATGCCGCGGTCGATAAACGACTGCAAGATAAAGAAGGTATTTGTTGGTGTTTGGGAAAACTCTGCTGTTGCTGGCTCACCTTTAGAACAACGCTTATGACTTACGACAGGAAACACGTTTAAGTGTAAGTGGGCTTACAAGGGCCACTGCAAAACCCAAAGCCTCTATAGCATCCCGCTGCAATTCTACAGTGGGACCAAAACCAACAGACTTGATGACCGTGCTTTGCACAAGGTATCACGCAGAGCGCCTTATCGACACATCAGCTTCGCGCCGAAGCTGCTGTCGGCAGTCCAACCCCTGCAGTTATGAGAAGAAGCCTCTACAGTCTCTAAAGTGAGTCACCTCGATGTGCCGTGGGCGCTTGGGCCTTGGAAGTCCCAGCCATTGTCGCTCTCGCCTAGGTCACCAAACGTTACTGAACATGGCGGGATATTGCATGAATCCGCAGAGAGCGCAGCTTGCGATAAACATCCGTGCAAAGTGCTGCCAAAGCATTGGCTTTGTTGACTAAAGTCGCGAACCTTCCGAACATGGCACTTGTCATTTGGATGTTGTCCTAAATTAAAGGAGCCATGCCCATGGCTGCATGTCTGATTGGATAAACGTCTCCCTGAGGGCGTGGCTGAGTGTTTACGTGTCTGACTGTTGGAGAGTTTAAGCAGGTGAGTGTTAGAGTGTCAGAATGAAGTACAACAAGCGCACGTAAGACAAGGAAACACACACAAAGTTCCTTTTTCCTTGAGCCAAATGTAGAGCCTGTAACAACTACATTGTCATGATCTACATACCTAGGCCTTTTTGGGTCGAGCTCTGTTAACTCCCCCCCTTTAGGACTCTGAGCAGTAAGACTTGAAGTTTACACTAACGCGGGAAGGTTGAATCCAAACTGAAGCAGTGTCGCGCGATCATGCGGGATCAGGCGCTCATGATGTCGAATCAAGCATGCCACGAAGGCAAACCTGTCGTGTGGCTTTCATCATGGTATGATTGAACGGATTCAGAAGAGCAGGACTGCAAGGCATGTTTCCCCACAACATGTCGTCAAGTGGGTACCGCGTCGTTCCATCTTCATCCTCGACCCATAAAGATGGGTCCATGCACGGCACTGAGCGATGCGAGAAGCTTCTTCGACCCTTCTGCATTGACAACACCTTGTTGCAAGACCACGCTCGAAAACTTGTGCGATGGCATGTCATGCCGGATAAACCGACATATGACTGCGCTCACACACTTGTACGTGCGAGACGTGTTTTGGATGCCAAAGAAATCCCCTAAGACGAACGCACCTGCTGGGAAGACATGCGCGGCACTGTCTTGTACCCCCCCTCTTGTCAGGACCGTTAGCAATCAACGTCGAAACTTGTAGCACAAGATGTTGCTCTGTTTGGACCTTCGGGCAACCTGTGGCAAAGATCTCGGCAGGCAAAACTGTCTCAATTGGACTGGCAACGACTGCAGCTAGGTGGGAACCATCGCTAGACGCTGTCATGCCGAATCGCATCATGGTGTGTGGCCATTCAGCTGGCGGGAGGATCTTTGTCAGACCATGCGCTACTTCAAGCTCGCTTCGTATTCGGCGGTGATGTGTGGATCCTGCAGCTGTTCAGGCATTGGGGCTGTGTTTACCCGGTGAACCCTGTTGACATGACGGGGTTTCGCTGAATAGCCCGCTGCAAAGACCTTCAGAAGTGTCTCGTTGTCTTGGTGAAACATGACATCAACTGCTTGGCCTAGCACTTGTCCCAACATCTTTCGTATGTTCAGGGCTTCCCCGAACATAGCTGATGGCATGGCTATCGATTCTGCCTCTGGCGTGCTTCTGGCTGCACTAGTCTGTTTCTTTGACGAGCACCACAGTGGAAAACCAAACTCTGTTGAGCCTTCTGTGACGACGATGCCACTAATGGACTTCGCGCTGTGCAGACATGATGCAAAATCACTGTCACTATAGATGTGCACTTGGGGTGTTTTGTGATGGCAAACGGTTGCTGCAAGGCAGGTTTCAGATGACCCATGGAGGTAGGAAATCATCCGGAGCTGTTGCTTGCTTCCCAGCGTGCCCAGGACGCAACTTTGGACGCAGAACGTCCGGTGATGAGGCAAAGATCGAGCCATAACGCGTTCATCAAGACCTCTGCAGCTACATCACTCACCACACATTCTTGTTGCAGATCCTCATCCGACATCAGGGCCTCTGAGAAACACGGTGTTGCAACTTTCTTCAAAGGTTCGTTTGGTAGGCCCGCTAGCTCACAAAAGGCATCTGCGACCTGCTGGGCAAAGAAGACATATCAAACACTAAGGTCGCGGAGTCCACACCTTTGTAGATCCTGTGACCTCGGCCTAGGCTTCGGCCATTTGTGTCGTCAATGAAGACCTCGGGCACAGGCTTGATGTGGACTCTCAGCCTTCTCCCAAACTCGTTGATGCTTCGCTCCGGAGAGCGTAAGATCATCGACGTAGATGTTCAGTATGAGGGTATGCGTGCCTACCTGAAACAGGAAGTTGGACGGGAACAGATCTAGTTCGATGCCCCCTAAGGAAGTCAGGACGAGGAGAGACGGTTCTGCCAGAGTTTGCCAGCTAAGGGGTGGCTGTATAGCGACCTTTTTTCTCGCACGATGACCATGGATCCTGACACCAATCGCTGGTGACGCCTCTTCGGGCAAGATTACCCATGTGTCGGGTTCTCCTTCCTGGACCAAATTGGCCTTCAGGAAAGCCTGAATCGCATCTGCTAAGCTAGCTGCGTTTTCGTCTCTACAACCGAAACATGATGCGACGTTCAGTGCAATCTTGTCGCCGTTTCATCGAATAGGATGTGATTGAAATTGGCATCGAAGATACTTTCAGCGCGATAACAAGCTCTTCCTTGAAATTACCATTGTTGTTCTAGCATCTCGTAGAATTTAATTCCGGGTGACGTTAAGAGCTCGGCAGTCTTAACTTGTCGGTGTTGTTTTCTGGCAATGGCCCTCAGACCAGACAACAAACATGCGGAGTCGTCGTCCCACGTTGCATTTGATCTCAGTCCATCTGCTTCATTCTTCACCGCAGCGATTCCTCGCGGACCGGATTTCCATTCACGCTTGGTGAGGATTTTCGTTACCATACTTGGCACGTGGCGATGGTACTGTTGTGGATACCATGCCTCGACGATTGCCTGAGAAGAGGCACTTGAACTTTCTCATCGCATTAAAGCTGCCCAAGAAAATGGATGAGGCGCAGATCATTGGTGGCGAAATGCAACGGCTCTCCTGTCGAGCGTCCATCGAGGGAAATCTTTTGAAAGTTATGGTGTGCCTCGTGGCCACGCGATTGCGAGTATAACCATGGTTGCAAATTGTTGTCTCTACCACCTTGATGATCGATCCCAGGCATTGCTCAGTCCAAACAGAGCTTTACGGATGGCAATGAGAGCAACAAATCGCAGCCTGGCATTGCTTCAACCTGACCGCAAACCTGTTCAACATGAGCCTGGGCGGAAAGATCAACTGTGTTCCTATCGACGATGATGCCCTGGATGCCTAGCTCGGAAGCAGCCTTGGACAGTGCCGAGCTTTTTCCCTCAGCGTCTTCGATCAGCACATTGATGCCGCTCAACGATTGAAGCTTCCTTTGCCGCACACGTTCACGAGACGAGCCGACGCATCCTTGATCAACGCGCTGGGCCGCCTTCGCAACAAGACCTTCAGCGGCGTGCTCACCTGAAGGGTGGAGACCAGCGCTGTCGAGGAGCACAGCCAAGGAACCATCAGCAGGCGGAGCAGATGCACCATCAGATGCTTAGCCGGTGTCTTTGCAATCCGATCGGCTTTGATCAACCGCTATATACTCAGCCTTCTTTCAGGGAGGATCTGATGGCTCTATTGAGCTGAAAGGAAAATCAACCGCTGTGATGTTGTGGAGCTTTGCGTGCTTGAACTCCTTCAGTGCTACAAGGAGCAAGAATGCTGTCTCGGAAGGCACGTGAACTTCAGCATAAGGCACCGGCAGCATGTGCCGATGCCCTATACTGTCGAAGAGCGATATGATTCAGAAGAGGTGCAAGCATGTTGTATCCATGGGACACAAGATGTAATGATTGTGTCTTGACTGCTTCAGAGTCTAAGACGCAGCTTGTCCAGGCGCAACAGTCAGCATTTGTGCTGCAAACTGTACCGACACAGGCCATACGTCTAGGACCACATGGAACCCAGCATGAAGCGGCCCCCAGGTGGACTCTTGAAGTGTCCGAGTTGTGCATTGTGTGGAAATCGTTTTTCCAACGTTGCCTCATGCACCCATCCTATCTGTGTGATGGCAGGTATCAGCTCTCTAACGAAATCGGCCTTACACAACACCTGCGGAAGATGTTTGTACTTCGCACCTACAAACGTCACGAGGCTTGATGCTGCACTGTCAGCTGTACGTGCCCATACGAATGCTCGCAATGCGGGACTGATGGGGCACCAACGAATTTTGAATCAGAACTCCTGTGATGGGGCGCCAACAGATCTGGAATCAGCACTCCTATGAGTTCTTGGACTGACGGGGTGGGGTCCTGGGACTGCGTGTTTCAGTGTCTGAGCGTCTGATTCCAAATTGGAGCCGCGCCCGATCGCGCTCGCGACCAGAATCCATTTCAAGCTTAATTTAATCATGCTACCTTCAGTGCTCAAGTCCAGCACGCAGGAGCCTGTCTTGTTACTAAGCACATGCCGCCAATAGCAGGATTGTTCGCACTGGCCATGCCGGAACGAACACAAAGCGAGCGGCTTGGTCGACTCTAACTGTAGATTCGTTTACGTTCGAGATGCCCAATTCTGCCCGTGGGTTCCTGCTTCAGAAACAACTTTTGCAAGAATTTGCAATAGAGCGCGCACGCACGCTGCTAGAGAACTTCCGACACTAAGGATTCGGCTAGATTAGATCGGTCCTCAACACTACCGTCGGAGCAATGCCTGGCAATCTTGGCACAAGTGCCGAGACCGTTCTCTAGCGCATTTCTGCTGCATGCTTCGATCTCTAAGGCGTCGCATGAGAGGATGCTAAGCGGTCAGAGGTTCCCTTTTTCCCTTCCGGCAACCCCTTTCCATCTCTTTCCCTCATCTTAACACCCTTTCCTGAGTTGCTGAAACAACCGTTCGGGCCCCTATCCCCGTCCCCCAGACCCTCATTCGTCGTCTTGTGAACTCTTAACCTGCTGATTCGGCCCTGATGTGGAGACTGCTCTTCACCTGCGACGGGGTCGAGGTGGACGACGCGAAGCGCTTAAACAAAACTGTTCGACTAATGCAACTCTCGCAAAACGTGGCCGTCCAAATGTCATGTGAAAAGCGAAAACCCGGGATCCATGCACGGTCACGGATTTTCATGGATGATGCTGGTCACAATGCGCTTAGAGTCTTAGAGACCCCCACGGTCGCACGCATGCTATTCTGCAGGGTGGTGAGGAAGGCCGGGTACCAAGCACTGATCACTGCGCTGTCAGCTCCTTCGGCACCTTTTTGGAAGCGGCTGTGGAATTGCTGCGCATGTGCAACGATGAGCAATGGCTCAGGAGCCCACGCCAACCGTCTTCTATAGACGTGTCAGGATGTTCGAGAAGCCAATATTTGTCCTTCTTTAGACATCTGAGCAAGCTGAATGCGCATCTGCATGGTTGGTACGTGGGTCCGTCCCGTCTCTCTTCAGACCGCATACCTGCGGACCCAAGACAGCTTGTGCTTTGCAGGGGCTTGCATAGTGACGTTGTGCCTGCTGTGGTTTGGTCGGCGCCCCTGCGATGGGCTCACATGCCGGCGAAGCGCACAACCTCGGTAGAGAAAAGGAACTGAGTCCGAATCCAGCATGTCACTTGAAGCCCACGTCAATGCCACTGAGCCCTGCTGTGCATAATGCTTGGTGCTGCTTTGATCAGCTGGCCGCTGGTAAGGCACGCAGCCTGAGACATGCACTTTCTCAGGCTTTCTTTCGGCCAGAAACTATATGATATACCCGAAGATAGGCCACGCACGTCCGAAAACTGCAAAGGAGGGCCTCATCTGCTGAATTGTACCGAAACGAAGATTCAAGACATTTCTACGACAGTCTCGGTGCGATGCTGCAGAACCACCCACTCGGCCTGGCGCCTTGGCGAGAAGTCCAAAGGTTAAAACAGCCGAGTAATTGCTGAGGTTTCCGAGTTGCAGCACATGTTGCCATAGTCCTCGACGGTGCTCCCCACTGCTGGGCCTAGGCTGATTCACAGAGATTCTCGGAGACAAACTGAGACCCTCATCTTGAATCTTGCTTTGCAAGCTCGGATGCTGGCATCCGGGAAGGCAAATCCCGTAGCGTTGCTGTAGAGACGGGTCCTCTGCGGCCATGTTGCGACTTATCCCTTGAAGGACCTTCAAGCAAAAACCTTGATCGTCATTCTAGAGATGCTGAGTGCCTTCCACTTCATCCTTTCCGTCCGAAAGCATCTCGAGATGTCTCGGTGGGTTCTGAGCTAAAACATCCTCTTCAGTCCCAGGTCCCAGGGCTCCTGTCCTTGACCAGGAAAGGCATCGCTAGCGAAGCCTCTTTGAATTACAACTTCCTTCGGCTACATCGTCCGCTGGTAGGCTTACAGGAAGTCTGACGGAAAGCATTGCTTTGAACGGCTTGTCCCCACCATGGTCGGAGCCGCTTGATGTGCTGGTACAGATATGATATAGCAGAAATAGCAGACACCTGCCACATTCCTACAGTCTTGTTTGCAGCTTTCTTGGTGCTCAAGCCTTCAGCATCAACCCACAGGGTCGTCCTTCGCGAAGTCCGTCTCCAGGTCCGGGTAGAAGGCGTAGGCCCTCATTGAGGGACGAGGTCTCGGAGAAATCTCTCATAGGCCAGGGCGGCCATGGCCTCGCAGCTTCCGTGCCAAGCCCGCAGAGGTTCCCGTCGTGGTCACGTCCATGGTCGATGCGCCTTCCAACACAAACTTACAAGCTTTCCGGATGTCTCCGGAATCCCGGAACGGGCCTTAGGTCTCCGACTTGGCCGAAGAGAACCAAAAGAATCCCATTTCCTGTTACAGCTGCCATCACATGTCATTACAAGTGCGAACGGAGGCAGCCATTGGGTTCCAGACCGACAAGAACGGCGGCAAACAAGATGCAACAAGGGAAGTCGGTGCATCTTCCTTAGCAGTCCCGACATCACTGTACGTGTCGCTTTGTCTGCCTCTCCTGGGCCAGCAACGCCGTGGCGGAGGACCAGGATTTGCTCTGATGCCTCCGAAAGCAGGGAGTCAGCAGCAAGACACATGATAGCCCGCAAGAAGCTGCTTTAACACCAAATTCGAGCTCAGTTGCGAAGTGGCTCCTCAATCCTAAATCGTGCACGACTCTGCTGGACGCACTGGCTGCTGAAGCGCAGCTTCGTCGGTTGAGTAATGTAAGCTTCACACTCCGCACTCTCGTGGGAAAGGCAGCAGCAACCTTCGCCAATCTGAGCCCTTTATCAAGTTCCAAGGTGTGATAAATTCAGTGATAATCATGCCAGGCGGAACCCATGATCGGTGTTCAGAACATGCGGCTCGTTGCTCGCGCTAGTCTTTTTTTTGCTGAATAGCTCCACCTGACGAGTTAAACTAAATTCGGTTGCGGGGCCTTGTTTTGGGGAAACATCTATGCTAGACCCTCGAGGCATCTACGGTTTCGAGCCAAAGCTGATGCCGGAGAATGCACGTCGTGTAGGCCAAGTAGAGAAGCACGCATGCGCTAACACAAGCGCACTCAACCCCTTCAAGTCCAGGCCTGTTCATGATCTTTCTCCAGGCTGAGGCAATTGCCCGCCACACACCATGCCTGTCCGCAAATCAGTGTGGGCCGCTCTTGCTGCAGGATGCAGAGTGCTCTGCAAATGCGGTCCGTCAGTCGCCAAAATGCCGTGTCAACGGTGCCTACAAATCCCTTTGCACCAACTTGCCACTGCGCAGCGAGAAGGGGAAACCTTTACGGGGTCGGAAGACATCCTGGATGATGCTGTTGGGAACACGAACACGGAGCCTGATTCCAAGAGCAGTCTGTTCAGGTGCAGAGTAGTGAAAATTGCGGCCACGCAAGTTGCCAGCCTGAGGGCGCAGACGGCTCCACCTAGAGGTTTCTCAGAACTCACAACATCTCACCACATCTAACGCGTGCCCTGACAGGCAGCTTGAGAAGGGCCACAGTCGTCACCGTGCTTTGATGTGCTTCGGTGCTTTGCTGGAGTGATTCGGATGGAGCAGTGGAGCTGTGATCGGAAATTGGGCTGGGGCCTGGCACACGATAGAGGTACGAGTTATGGATGACAACAGATTAGCTGCATCAGCAAAATCGACGGTGGAAGGGCAGGAAGGTGCAGGATGTGAGGGCTTGGAAGAGCTGCTTTGCATCTTGCGGGGTGGCGAGGACCCTGCTAGAGTTCAGAAGAGAATAGTGGAGGATGGCGACGCAGGTTCGGCTCCAAAGACGTCCAAGGCAGCCGCTCTAGGACTTCTCGGGAGAGGAGACCCAGCTCCAGTCGGTCCTCGACAAACACGTGTCGCATGTGTCTGCGGCTCCTAAACAGCCTAACATGTCCCAGGCACGACAGGATAAGGCATCTTGGTTAGGGAGGCTTGTGCGGCGCGGCCAGTGTTACACTGTGCTTCTGCGCTGACACTCCGATGGTCCCCCAAGTGCCAAAGAGTGGTCGAATAGCACCTGTGCCAGCAAAACACACCGGCAATGGGGACACGGAGATGCGGATGCTTGCGGGCGCGCTCCAAGCCCAATGAGGAGTGGAACTTGTGCAGGGAAGAGCAGCGCCTCCAGCACCGCAGCCGCAGCGGAGGCTATCTGTGTGCCGGGCTGGGCTGCGGCTCTGAGTCAACGGCTTGTACAGGATCGCAGCATCGCGGTAGTTCTGGAGTTCAAAATTACAGCGGGCGGCCAAGTCCTGCAGAGTCGCAGAACGATCGACGTTCACCCACCGCACAATGCCTGTCCTGGCAGAAGGCTGAATCTCGCTCGTGGCTCGGCAGTTTGCTGAGAATCTCGAGAGCCTTGGTCTCATCGGCAGGGCATGGCAGAGCTCAGACTCTTTGAGAGAAGCTTTAGAGCTGGACGTCTTGACAGTGGAAACGGTGGACGGCATGGAGCGCCTGATCGTGATGGTAGTTGTATCCGAAGCAAACACTTCTGCACCGCCTCCCCAACTCCTTTGAGCACCGATACGGCCATCACCTCCTGATGATGTCAGGGTATGCCAGGGACGTCCACTAACTAAAGTATGGAACCGTCGTCAGGACTGTCCCCTTGCCAAGCTCGCTCAAAATCTACGAATGTTGGGGCTTGTGGCACAAGACACAAGGCAGAGCGTGAGCACGGAGCGCAGGCACACAGAGCGTGCACAAAGGATACTCTTCTTGGAGCTGAGGATATTTCCGGACCTTGCACATCAAAACGGAACTGAAGAGCGTCACCGCCGTGTGTCCTTGGCAGATGCGCTGCTGACCTGATAGGACATGTTGCAGGGTTTGCAGCCGCATGATTGGTGCTACGCCGGTTCTTGCCCATGCTCTTGGCTCATCTTGGCTCTGCAAAACCGCCCGAACATCTGGCCAGGATACATTCTCTGAGCCCGAAATCAGATCAATACGAGGAGCCCGTTTGTCAACTCTGCTCTTATCTGCTCTTAAGCAATTCTGCACTGCGCAGCCCCGTAGGGCTGAGGCTTGGTCTGACGTCGAGCAGCCGGCTGCTTTCGTGCCGGGAGATGGCGATCCGTCGGCGAGTGGCAGCCTGAATTCCGACGCGAGGAGAATCGCGAGCGCTAAGACCAACCTGCCAAGATGCTGTGGGAGCTTCGTAGGAAGTGCCTGGCCATTCGAGCATCGACAGAGTATGACATGATGGGCATCCACAGGGCCTTTGGAGCCGAAGGAGATCCCGGACCCTTCACAGTCAGCTCCAAACACAAAACTTCATGAAAGCACTTCTTGTGAGCTTTTGCTTCCCCTGCCTTTCTTGGTGAGAAAATCGCGCGCATTTTTGAAGGCGAGGTCACATTGCCCGGATCCTGCGGCTTTCAACTGACAAGACGTGTAGAGCTTCTGGCTTTCTAGCCTCGGGCCTTGTTTTGTTTTTGGCGCTTTTCGAAACTCCGACTGCGCCTTCTCTTGCGTGGAGTGCGAGGTGTCCACCCCCGGGCCACGATGTCTTCTCCAGGAACTGCAACACAGGCACCGGACAATGTAGTTGATGCCTTGTTGGACGGATTCAAAGCTGCATCCACAAAGTCCCTGCAAGACTGCCCTGGACGGCTGTCTTGCCGGCACAGCGACAACCAGCTGAATCGCTCGAAGGCACCCCACATATACGGGCACTGCTTCAGGCATTCTGCATAGCACTCCAAGGCTAGATGCTTCCGGCCCATTCCCTCGGCCGCCCGTCCAAGCTGGTAGGCGCCCGCAGCCCCTTCGACTACATGTTCCAGAGGCTGCAGTTGTCCATTGCGCCACTTTTCCAGAAGATCTATGTTCCCAGCTAGTAAGGCAACCTCTGCCTCATCGTAGTGCTCCAGCCTGATGCATGCCAGAGCCAGCAAGTACTGTACACGAGGTGATAAAGATCGTGAGCAATGCAATCCCTGCAGCTGGTGCCGCAAGCGTGAATGTTCGCCGGCGGAAAGCAATGCTTCTGCCCACAACTCAAGCACTCTACCATCTTCGACCTCTGGAAAGGCTGGTAAACGCTCGGCCAAAAACGCAGCTTCGTGGAAGAGGTGATGATGCAGAAAATTCTCTATCCATCTACAGGATTGAGATGCGTCTGCATCCAGCAGGAGACTAGGCAATGCTGCCATCGCAGAGTCTCAGCGCATACATCTTTCCATGGCGGAATGGATTCGTTGCTCGTGGGTCTCTGCTGGACTGCAGTGAGTACAAGATGCTTCCCATCCACGACGCCTGGATAAGAAATGCACCGATGTCAACCACAAAAATCTCGTTACCTCTGTCGGACACATAGCGCGTTCTCAAATTCTGCGGGGGAAAATAGGACATGTGTATCCGGACATGGGGCAGTTCATGCAGCATGCGATGGTCTACATGCAGCCCCGACAAGCTCTGCACCAAGGCTCCGCAAAAAGAAGCGATCTTTATTGCATGGCGGCATTTACTGTAAAGGACTGCATGCCTTCTTTGAGGCACCCCAATCTTCACTGACGAAACTTCCATTCTCGGCGACACATAGGACACCTCCGACATGTGCTCTGCATGGTTCTGTGCTCGTTCTCGAGAACTTCACCAAATTGGGAGTCCATGGTAAAACGAGCCGGTGCACTGTTTCTGCTCCTTCTGCAGCCACTTCATGATGCAGTGAATGTGAAAGTGATGTCCGCACTCTCCTCATCCATAGAATGCCCCAACTGGGAACTTCTTTGAGTACAGCTCTGTTGGACAGCTACAAGCTCCTACCACGTAAGCCTGGAGCAATGCCTTGCCGGCTTCACAAAACCCGCCCGAAGCACGGTGCTGGGGGGACGGCCCCATACTGGTGGACAGTCATCACCTCCAATCACCGCACAGCTCACTCTGCTAGCTCGCTCACTCTCTGACTCACTTCTCTCGCCTGGCATCTTGCATTCTGGGCAGCATGCGTCGAATGGCATGCCTTGTTCAGTCCAGCTCTGGCTAGGCCGGCGTGAAGTCGCAGTTACAGTGGCGGAGTGGGCTTTTCCTCTTAACGCTGGCCCTCCCCAGTTTGCTTTGTTAACGTTGGCCTTCCTTTCCTGGTTAAAAAATACAGTAAACTGCAGCATTTGCTGCCTTTCCCATGGATCCAAGTGCTGCTGATTACTATCGTTTCTCGCTGTTCACAGGCTGGGCTTGTTGTAAATTATTGCATTCTTGGCGATTCAGCTAATCGCAATCTCGAATTGCTGTCAATTACAGCATTTCCGGCTGAGCTTCCAAGGTTGTAAATCCCGCTGTGGCCACAGGGGTTAAATTCAACACCATCTACCTAATCCTCCTCCCTAAAGTTTCATCCAACCTTTCTTTTTCAGCAATCGAAACAGAGTGGGTTGTGTCAGAGTGTTGCTCCGTTAAGATGACTCCGGTACTGGTACTGCTTCTAACCAGTCTCCCTCTTGGCTCGCATGGGCTATCCCAAATAGTTAAACACACACAGACACACACACACACAAGCAACATGAATCCGACACTTAGCACGCACCACCGAATCCGCCTCCCTGCAGGACTCAGAGACACATGCCGCCACAGTCAGGCCGAGGCGGGCGGCGTAGCGTTAGAATTACAGAGTTGCGGAAACGCTGTCAATGGCAGCATTTCCGATTGCACACATGCCCAAGCATTTCCCCTTGCTTTCGATTTTTCGGCTCGATTTTGGGGGTAGGTAGGAGGAGCTGTCGTGGGTTCGTCCCACAAGGCCCTGGCCCCCCGTTGCCTGCCTCATATCCTTCCAGTACCTTCCGATTCCAGGCCCCGCTCCCCTCCTTTTCCTTTTGCCGCCCCTTGGTTCTTGTGTAAGGAACCCCTTCCTTCCTTTCCAAATGTAACCTTGCAACCAAAAAGCAAACAGCCGCGAAACAAGCACGGCTGCGAAAGGCATGGCGGAGCTGAGGACCGGCTCTAACCTTTTCCCAACCATCCTCTATGGTGTTGCCTCTGCCCCCTTCGCACAGCTGCGGACGAGCATAACAGAGTTTATGACCGGCTCCGAGGCGGTTCTCGCGCTGGCGGTTAACTGACGGCATGTCAACATGGTGACAAGCAAGCTCTACATCTCGTGAATGCAACATGCAAAAACACTTCTCGCATGATGGGCTGTTGAAATTCTTTCTGAAGGAATGTACCGCGATGACACAACGCTGATTGAAACAAGCATACACTGCTTGGACAAGATTCATGAAGGAATGCAAATTGATGACAAAACAATGATCGAAGCCGGATTGAATGGCTTTAATAACCTCGAGGCGTTGGGGCAGGGTGCAGTCCCCCCATGTTCGGATTATGGGCTGTTGGAAAAGATTCATGAAGGAATGTCCGTTGATAATACAACATTGGTTGAACGCTATGCGGCGCCTTGACACTACCAACACTCGTCGTCGATGTACTAGTCGTGCTAGCAGTTGTTGCAGTAGTAGTACTAGTACTAGTACTAGTACTAGTACTGGTACTCGTAGTAGTAGTAGTAGTAGTAGTAGTAGTGGTAGTAGTGGTAGTAGTAGTCGTCGTCGTCGTCGTAGTCGTAGTAGTCGTCGTAGCAGCAGCAGTAGCAGTAGCAGTAGCGGTAGCGGTAGCGGTAGCGGTAGCGGTAGCGGTAGCGGTAGCAGTAGCAGTGGTGGTGGTGGTGGTGGTGGTGGTGGTGGTAGTAGTGGTAGT